TTTAAGAGTTTAGGGTTTTGGGTTTGGGGATCATCTTGGGGTTCAGGGAGCCTTTGCTGCGGGACGCTCGTCATCCCAGTCGCTGGGACCGCCTGCCCTTTACATAGAGGCTTTATACGAGGTGCATCCGGACCTTAAAGGGTCACCATTCTTACCGCAACTGGCCCATGTTGCTCCGACAAGCTCAGCGACGGAAGCCAGCCTGCGAAACCTCGCTTGACAGGCCCTAGACTCATACCCATTTGGAGTTGACCCACGACTCTTATCCTCAAACCTGAAAGCCCGAAACCCCGAAGTCCAAATCCCTAAACCCTCACCTAAGCGCCCTCGACCCTAAACCCTGGACCTAAACCCCTTTGAAGGATAAGGGCATGCAGTCCATCATCCCCTTCTCTGTGGCCCGGCAGCAATCGTTGTAGGGCGATGGCGGTTCCCCCTCAAATCCCGTAAGCGCCGCATATTTCAACCTCAAAGCCTAAACCAAAGACACCTACATTTTGAACTCCAAGCCGTAAGTCCTATCTTTTTTGGAACCCGAATCCTCTAAACCCTATAGCGCACCTGCCTGAACATATCCCAACCTCCCTGTGGGCCCCAAACAACCCTAAACCCCTGACAAGCCGCAACCGCCTGAGCGCCTTAAACACCCTTGATGCTGCGTCCTCGTAGTTTAGGAATCGATCGCTGTAACGTATCGGCTCGAAAGCCTGTTCTATCTCGCTTTGATGTCGGCGGCGCTCGTGCGCTGCTCAGATTGTCAGCGGTGGGCTAGCACAAGTGGGAGTCCAATCTGTGGAATTTGCAGAGTTAGCAGAGCAATCAGCTTACTTCCTGCGGATCCTCGTTTGACCTCCAGCAACTTTGACCTTATACACTCGATCCTTGAGCGGTGCTTGGGCGAGGTAAACAGCTGGCTTTGTGTTCCTCTGGAATTCCCTCCATCCTCTTGTGACAACGAAAATCTTTCTCCTGCACCGGGAGAAGCATCCAAAATCAAGGGGAGATCATCCAGTGAGGGTAAGGAGACGAAGCAGAAGAGATCAGATCGCGACCAAGACAGGCGAGAGGAACGCAGGGAGATCACCCGGCAGCCGCCCAAGCCGCCTGCACCACCACCACGAGGGGATCCCGACGAGAGGCCAGAAGTGAGATTGACATCATCTTCTAAGCGGAAAGCACGGCCTTCAGAGCATCCAGAGCCTACAAATCAGACTTTTGGTGACGGGGAGCTTGAGTGCGTGGAAGAGACGTTCAAGTCTCGGAAGAAAAACAAGGGGAAGAAGCATCGTGATCGTGGTAGGGAATATCGTGCTTGGCGTGAGGGATTACCTGATGGCTCCTAGAAGACGTCCTGCGGCCGCGGCGACAACTCCCAGGAGAGGAATTCTTCGGCGAGGTAGCCTGCCCCTATCACGGGCTGGAGCTACGGCGAAGGCTAAGGCTAAGGCAACGACAAAACCAAGTCCTAGACGTGGATCGTCGAGGCCCAAAGGCAAGGGGTTTTCAGCATGGAAAGCTCTTCGAGATTTCGTCCCGCAAGTGGGGCAGCAGTTGCATTTGAAGGGGACGTACAAGGCTGTGCCGGCAGAGTGCGTGGGAGAAGTAGAAGGTCTCCTGGACGATCGGGAGGGCCAGTGGATGAAATTAAACCTGACAGGAACTCTCAATGCGGAGCTGCAGGAGTGGAAGAGGTCCCATTCAGAAGGGTTTTATGCCAACAGAAAGCCCTTGGTCCAAGATCTGGATCCCCAACTAGACGGGTTGTTCTGCGTGCGGGAGTTGCGCGAGGTAGACCCTCTACTGGAATGGAAATCCAACCTCCTCAATTTGGTGGGGAATCCAGGCGAACTGGCTGGGCTGGCAGCCGTGGCTCAGGATTTGGGTTATGGGGTGAATCCGGGAGGGTTGGGGACCTCACCTCCCCCTCCTGCCAGCGGCAACGAAGGAGACGTCCCCGAACGCCAGAAAAGGTTGAAAGGGAAGGCCCGAATCAAGTCCATGATCAGAGCGAGCGCCTGGGATTGGAAAGGGTCATCCTTAGACCCCGCTTTTCGTCGACCCAACATTGGAGTGAAGCGCAAACGAGACATGAGCAGCGGCAGCAGCAGCACAAGCAGCAGCCGGCATACCCAGAAAGGCGATTCAGATCAGGAGGATCTTTTTCCGGAGGAGGCTCAAGCAAGGCACATCTCACGGAAGTGCCCGGGGTTGCTCACCAGGTACGCTATCAAAGAGGCTCGGAAGAGGCTCATGACAGCAATAGGGGAGCATGGAGGGGATCACCAGCCAGGCCCGATGTTTCTAAAGTACTATCGCCAAGTGTTTTCACACTCGGGGGCCAGTACTCCTATGAGGCGGGAGTACTTGACCCTGGCTTGTTGTCTAGATGCTTTATTAGAGGGAGATGTGTTGAAGTGCTTGGACATCGGGGTTCAGCGCATGAAAGCCGTAGAGCAGATCAGCCAAGGGGTTTCCCCAGCCATCGCAAACCGGCTAGAGATCATCCCTCCCGAGAATTTCTCTTTGGCGTCCATGGAGGAGAGCAGGTGCGCGGCACAGGAGCAGAGACGAGAAGACAAAGTGAGAGCATCGTTGAGCCCGAAGGGGAAAGGAAAATTGGAGAATTCTTGGGCGAAGGCGCAGTGGGAGGATCCACCATCAAAAGGGGAGAAAGGCTGGAAGGGCGGAAAAGGCAAGGATGGGAAAGGGAAACCGCCTGGAAAATCACGTCCACAGAAGGGGATGCCAGCAGTGTCGAGCGAAGTAGTGGCAGTGAAGGACTGAGCACGGTGGTGTCAATCTCAGATGCCAGCCCTCCTAGCCTCCGGGAGGGATGCGAGAGAGTGGCATTGCCGTTTGACTTGTTTGGCAAGCTTTCTCAACTGGGTCCTTTGCTGTGCAAGTGGTGTCGGTTGCATTATGGGCACATGTTGCATGTCGAGTTGCCAATTCCATGCAAGCGTCACTCCACGGCAGAGGTTTTCCCCCTGCCCATGCTTCTGGGAGGGCTGCCTCCCGAGGAGCAGTGCTGGTTGGAAGCAGCCGTTAGAGCTTTAAACTGGCTGGCTGTAGGAGACTTGCGCTTGTCTGAGAAGCCTCCCACTCCAACCCAGAAATCACTCCTGCAGGAATTGTTTTGTTCATTTGGCGCTTTGGGCCAGCTGGGATCTCGGTCTTTCGATGAAGCATCAATTGAGTCTTATTGGAAATCCAAGAGCATCAACGGTTATGGTGAAGAAGTTCACTGCGCGTTGCAATTTAGCTGGGCTAATGTGCAACATAGCTTGCCCGCACGAGAGCTTGCAGGAGCTCTTGATGGGGTTGAGGTGGCTTCCGGAGGGATCAAAGATTTTTTGGAGCGACCAATGTCATATCTGAAGCCTGAGGGCTCCCGGACCTGGATGAAACCACCCAGGGTTATGGTTCGCGCAGAGGATTGGGATGCTGTTGCTAAGGGTCTCATTGAACGCAAGATATGCGACATCATTCCGCTCAGCCAAGTTATCCATGTTGATGGCAAACCCGTTCTCGGTGGCCTATTCGGCGTGCCGAAAAATGAAGAAGTAGATGGGGTTCCTGTCTTGAGGCTGATCATGGATTTACGTCCCATCAACAAACTTTTCGAGTCCATCGTGGGCGATTTGAACACTTTGCCAATGCTTGGGCAGCTTCTTCCCCTAGAGATTTTCCCTGAGGAGACTGTTGTGGTTTCGTCGGAAGACATAAAAGCGATGTTCTACATTGTAGGACTGCGTGAATGTTGGAGGCCCCTCCTAGCCTTCGGGAGGGAAATCCCTGACCACCTGAGACCCGAGGGGATATCAGAGCCATGTGTGCTTACTAGCCGGGTTCTCCCTATGGGGTTTATCAATTCTGTTTCAGTTGCCCAGGCTCTTCACCGAAACATTGTCAATCAAGCGGTTGATGGTTTAGGAATTAGCCGTGAGGCAGAGGTAAGACGCGATCAAGTGCTCCCACTTTCTGCGACGCTTTACAGAGTCTACCTTGATAATTTTGACCTTTTGGAAAGGTCAAATCGAGAGGCAGCGAGTCTCTTGAGCGGGAGGCTCAGTGCGCCAGCTTCGAGGCTTAGATGTCAGTATCAATCGTTGAGCATCCCAGTGAATGAGAAAAAATCGGTGAGATCCTCTTTGGTTGCGGAGATGCAGGGAGGTTTGGTTGATGGGGATACAGGGACAGTCAGCCCAAAACATGACAAGGTTGCACGTTATCTGCGTGGGGCCTGGTTCCTCCTGCAAAGCAATCAAACCACCTTGAAGAGGGTTCAAATGGTGGCAGGCGGTTTGGTTTATCTGTTCAGCTACAGGCGTTGCTTGATGAGCTGCCTGAATGAAGTTTGGCAGTTCATTTCAGGTTTCGAGGGCAACATGTGCATCTGGAAGCCAATACCGGACAGGGTGCGGACTGAACTCTTTTGCTGTGTTGCACTTGCGCCTTTGTCATACATGGATCTTCGAGCCCCTTACGATTCAGTAGTGACCGCCAGCGATGCCTCAGAGAGTGGTGGGGGTCTCTCTTTCAGCTCGGGCTTGACGCACTTTGGGCTTCAAGCTTCAGGGAAGTCAGTTCGTGGGGATAGTGGTGCAGGCTTGTTGGATGACTGTCAAGTCTTGGTCATCTCTCTTTGTGACGGCATTGGGTCTTGTCGTGTTGCCTTAGATGTGCTGGGCGCAAAGGTTGGAGGATACGTGGCGGTGGAGCCAGATCCAGCATCGAGGCGAGTTGTTGAGAGCTCTTTCGGTTCCACGGAATTTGTTTCTGCAGTGGAGCATATTTCTGACACGATGGTTAAAAGCTGGGCTTGCAAGTACTCCCGCGCGCATCTTGTGTTATTGGTTGCGCGACACTTTCCTGGAGCATGCGGAAATCTTTCATCGACTGAGCGCGAAGTGGCCAGGATTCGAGCTTTGGTGCAAGCCAACTTTCCGTGGTCTGAAATCTTTATGTTGATTGAGAGCGCCTCCTCATTGTCTGATGCTGACCGTTCATGCCTGACACGAGCCATAGGTGTCCTTCCTTACGAGCTTGACTCAGTAGGCATGACCCCTTGTCGACGCTCTAGACTGTTTTGGTTCGATTGGGTGATTCAAGCTGAAGATTCAGTCAAGATTGAAAGGCCAACCGCTGCTCATGCAGATGATTTCGGGAGGATTGCATTCCTCCTGCCATGCCCTCCTGACCCTTACATCATGCCCGGATGGAAGTTTGCGGGAGGCAGCGATCAAAAGCTTCCAGCGTTCACGAGCTGCGAGCCTCAGGCCAGGACCAGTCCTAAAACCACAGGGTTGGGCTTATGCTCTGATCGGGATCTTGAATACTGGAGGGAGGATCGTTGCAGATTTCCTCCATACCAGTACAAGTTTCAGCATGGGTTAATACACCCCAAGCACGGGTGGCGCATTCCAAACATCAACGAGAGGGAAGCCATGATGGGCTTGCCTCTCGACTATACGCATCATTGTTGGGCTAAGGCCCATCGCAAACTGGACCCTGCGGGATGGGAGGATTGTAGAATGAGTTTGATTGGAGTTTCGGGGTCTGTACCCGTTCTGGCATTTCTTTTGAAGCATTTGCTGGGTCCCCGCGGCCTGTGCAGCAACATGAAAGCGGCAACAATTCAACATCAGTGCCAGCCAGGCGTGAAGCTTCAACTCAATGAATTCCTAGTCAGGCCCCCGTGGTCAGGACAAAATCAAAAACTTGCTGCCGGGAACAATACAAATTTCATTCGAAAACTCGGGTCCCTTATGAGTACGAGGGGCAGCGATGTGCTTTTGCAATCATCAACAGAGCCAGTCAAATCGTACGACAGGCTACGCACCTCGGTGCCATCAAACCTTTGGCGATGGAAAACAGCATGCAGTTGGGCGTGGAAACGACCGCAGTTTGGGGCTTCAGAACACATCAATGCCCTCGAGCTTCGTGCGGTTCTAACGGCAATCAAATGGAGAGTGCTGAAGGCGAGAAGTCGTCGCAAGCGATTCTTGCACTTAGTCGATTCTCTTGTGTCGCTTCATGTGGTGAATAAAGGCCGCAGCTCCAGCAGGAAATTGAGATCCATCATGNNTGTTGTCTGCCAATTCTTGCGTCTTGGGCTATGTTGATACTGGTCAAAACCCTGCGGATGCGCCATCGCGGCGCGGCCAAAAACGAAAATGGTCAAACGCCTAGTTGTGGAAGGAAATAGTCGGGACGCAAGAAAAGTACGCAGACAACAGCTTGGCAAGCTTCAGCATTTGGTTGTCCAGCCTAGGACTAAGCAGCGGTATGAAAAGGCCATGAAAGCATTCTTCGAGTTTCTTCGTTCAAACCGGTTGCGTTTTCCATCGCTATATTCGGAGGTTGACCGTTTAGCCTCTATGTTCATCGAGGAGCTATGGGAAGAGGGCGAGTCCCGTTACCAAGCCCAAGACACCCTCTCAGCCTTGCAGCATTTTGAGCCTCAGCTTAAAAGACGTCTTTTGCAAGGTTGGCGTTTGGTGAAAGCTTGGCAACGGTTTGAAATCCCCTCTCGAGCGCCCCCTTTCACACCCGCAACCCTTTCCGTGTTGGCAGGCTGGCTGCAGCAGCATCTTCCTGAGTTGGCATTGGCGGTCGCTGTAGGGTTCAAGGGGCTCTTACGGACAGGGGAATTAATGCAGGTGACTAACCGCAACATCATATGCAATGAGGATCTTGTCGTCATCCATTTAGGACAAACCAAGATGTCAACACGCAACGCGGGAACCGAGAGCACCTCCTTTCGAAGCCGGGAGATCTCTTTGATGTTGCGAGCATGGAAAAGCGTGCATCCACCAGACGCATTTCTTGTCAACGTTTCGCCTTCCTGCTTTCGCTTGTGGTTCGCTAGGGGTTTGGAGGAAACAGGGCTCAACGCGCTTCCGTACAAGCCTTATAGCCTCCGGCGAGGAGGAGCCACGCAAATCTTTTTGGACACACAGTCCTACGCTTCTGTTTGTCAGCATGGCCGTTGGGCCTCCGAGCGCACCGCTCGGGTATACATCCAGGATTCCGTAGCATTATTAACTGGCTTACCATCTTCTTTGACGAAAACTCAACGAGAGTACCACACTCTTTGGAACAATCTGTTGAACAGGCTTGATTCCAGCAAAAACGCTGGAAGTAAGAGGGGTCGTGGAAGGGAGTGATAATTCCGATCATTTTCCGTCATTGGAAGGCCTGAAAGGCTGAAATATTGTCGCAACTACGGCTGGAAAGCCAGAAGTACTGTCAAAACACCATTGAAAAGACGGAAAACTCATGGAGGCCTGAAAGGCTGAACTATTCTGACCAATAACCGTCGAATGATCGGATTCATTCTGCTTTGACTTCTGTTTTTTACTACAACTCTGACGCTTGCTTGGAAAAAGCATGATCGTTACTGCAGCTGATTCCTTGATGCTGCGTCCTCGTAGTTTAGGAATCGATCGCTGTAACGTATCGGCTCGAAAGCCTGTTCTATCTCGCCCTCCCACTCCGCCCCGAGGGAAAGGGGAAGGGAGTGATAATTCCGATCATTTTCCGTCATTGGAAGGCCTGAAAGGCTGAAATATTGTCGCAACTACGGCTGGAAAGCCAGAAGTACTGTCAAAACACCATTGAAAAGACGGAAAACTCAT